AGGACCTGCATGACCGCGTTGTATGTTTTAGGTTTCTGTGAGGATGTAAGGCGCCGTATTCGTGATCTGGAGCTGGTCTTTCTCATCACCGTCACTGTGACCTCTCTCAACATCTTCATTATGAAAAATCATCACCGTCAGTAGCACCTCTGTCATCACCATCAGCATGTTATTTCGTACCCGAGATTGAATCAACAAGGTTGAACATGGAAGGCCCTCGATCCAAAAAGATTGAATTTATCATGCATTTTCGGATACATTGCAACCTTATTGTGTTTGCGGCCCTCTGGAAGTCCACTATCCCCCATGAAATGTAGCTTCTCCATGGGTTTTGATCCAAGCCTTCTCCCCGCACACGGCCTCTTACGGGCGCGGTTGCTTGGATCTTGGGATATCTTGAGGTATTTGCGGCCCCGCTGCCAAACAATTAAACATCTTGGGCCCTGACATGTAGTGCGCAGCGTCCATATACGTGCAATCAAGGCACCCCAAACCTGCAAATGCAGGATTGTCACAATTGTTCAATTCATTTCTGGGCCTGACAGAAAACCGTCTGTGAAGTGCAGGCCCCGGCACAGATGGATCCTGCATGATAGGGGTTTGAGATGGGTTTGCAAATGAAAAGGGCCGGCAAATAAACAAAGCAAGAGTGTCAACCCACTTCCACAGCTTGCCTGCCTCAACCCTTGACTTCGGTGATTTGCTTGCAAATTCTAGTCTTTGCTTACATATAAGCCAGTGCAATATGGGTGTATGTATGCCTTGCCCAGCAGTGTTGGCCCTACAAAGGTCATGTCGCAAGCCATCAAGACCACCCGCTACCCTACCCGACAATGCCGAGGCACCCGTTTATGCAAATCGTCGGCAAGCCCACGGTTACCGAGGTTCGCACCTCACTAAGTTGGACATGTTGCTGCCAGGGCTTCAGGTGTCGGGGCTAATGAACCGAGGCAAGCTAACAGTTGGAGCTAGTCTGCCGTCAAAACTCAATGTGACTGATATGGTGGGGTGTCAACATAGAGGCGAGCCGGCATATCCTGGCAGTTCACTCTGCGTCACCACTTCCGATACATGAGCGACTGCTGTTATGCCCGCAATACCCCTTTACTACAGCCGCGTACAGGTGGCAATAACTAGTTTCGCGGTCGCAAACTGGTTTTCAGGGGTACGAGATTCGGGCACCGGTTAAATCCAGATCAATCATGCTTACGACCCGATGCAGTCCTATCTGAACTCGAAGCAAAGGCTGCCCAGGAAGCCGCACTGTGCAGACCCCCACTTCTTTCTGGGATTTTTGCTGCATGACAGAGTCAGATGAACTGCAGCTTGTCGGCTGTTTACCGTTGCTCTCTTACGACTTTGCGTGACGAAGTGAGAGGGAATGACTACCACCACTACCACTACTACCGCTACGACCATGATTACGAGACTATGAGTCAATCAGTGCTTGCAAACACAGGAATCTTACGCCACGTTTCACGCATGCCACACACAGTCCAGCGGCCGTGACAGGCCGCATGGTCAGGTAGTGCCACTTTTTCCCGCAGTCTGCACGAAGCCAGCTGCGACTTCACAGTGCACACTTGAGCCACCATGTACGGGTTCAGACAACATGCACAAAAGCACACACATCATGGCCCCGATGTGTACAGTCACATAGAACAGGTACTGCCATTACTCCTACTGACCTACTACTACCACCACCGCCACCACCACCTCCACCACCACCACCACCATCACCACCACCCCCAACCCCCACCACTATGACTATTTTTCAATTGAACGCTGCGCGAGCGTGCTCTGCGCTTTGCGGGCGCCTTTGCTCCCGTGCACTCGTGAGACTCAAGTGCAACTGCATCAATCGCTCAGAGATAACCTCTCAAACTACTCAGCTCTACTAGAGAGTGTTAAAAAATAAGCGAAAAAAGAATCAGCCTCCTCCGACACCCTAAATGTAAGCCAACGCGTCCGATGCTCGCGCACTGGTAAGCAGTTGGGGCGTGCTCCCTGAGTTCCCGTCTAGTGGCGTCCCACACTGGGTAACTCCTGCTTCAAGCGATGGGCCGTAACGGAATGACGGCGGATCTAGTGGCAGCTTCTCTGATGATCAATTCTTTGGCAAGTTAACTGCATGCTGCGAGCCGACTGTTTTCATCCAGGCTCGTGTGCAATTGAGCGCTGACTTCTGAAGAAATGCACTGCGGCCAGAAGCGGCTACTATGTTAGGTCCCGGAGGCGGTGCCACGTGGGATGCATGCGTGGCGGTGCCAGGCTGCAGATATGATACAGACTAGCCCCCGTCACTGGTTCGGGTAATGGGGCCACGCCGTGTACTGGGGGTAGTAGCCCCCCAATTCCAATTCTGCCCCAGTCAGTCTCATGTGACTGTTGCGGCGCGGGCCGTGTCCACTGGCTGGACGAAGAAGAGGAAGGCGCAGTGTCCCGAGGCCGCTTTCCGTCTTGATCAGCATCTCTGGCCTGAGGGCTTGGCTGGGGCCGTTGCCGATTTAGGAGCTGGCTTCTTGTCTTCCTCGGCTCCTTTGTCATGGTCAATCTTCATCTTCATAGGGTTTCATGAGGGTGGTGTGCGAGTCCCGATGGGGCTTCACCTTGAACATCCGCGCCTGCAGACCTGCTGACCTCGCAGCTTCGTTGTAGACCGTCGGGATGGAGGCCGTGATCAAGTTGAACTCGACCCGGGTGGGGAAGTGTCGGAGAAAGCCGGGCTCCTCCCACATCCGATTGAAGTATGAATTGATGAGGCCTCGAAGAGTGGCGGTACCTGACGGAGGGCGTCAATGCGTGTAGTCCATAACGGCTGTTGCTCCTGGTTCGAGAGACCACCAATGATGACTGGGTTGCCCAGTTTGTTGATGGTGGCGAGCACACGAATCCAGTCCTGAAGCGCGGGAGAACCCAGCATCTGGACTAGCTGCTGCCTCGAGTAGGTCTTCTCAGCTGTCGGAGTCGGCTGTGACACATACTCGACCTGCGCGGCGCCCTTCTGGGGGGGTTCATAGGCGGAAGGAGGCTGCGACGCTGGAGGCGGGGTTTGGATTAGCCTTGAAGGCTGCCTTCGCTTCCGCCGTAGAGGTGAAGGGGCAAGGGGGGGAAGCAGGAAGATCAAAGCCTTCAGCTTTGTCAACGCCCTTGGTACGAGTCGAGCTCGGTGGCAGGGAATCTCCTGTGGCGGCGCTGGTTTGGGCGGGGGCGGTGGAGCAAGAGTCGCCTTGAGGGTGTGACACGGTGTGGCAGGAACAGCTACACTTGGGGGGCTGTCCTGGGGCAGATCATCATGCCTGGAGGTGCGGAAGTGGTTGCGAATTCCGTGTCCAGTGCTGAACTGGAGTGCTTGAAGCAGCGGCGACAGCAAAGCCAAAGGGAGCCTCCCACCTCTGTCAAGCCAAGGCCTCTGGGGATGAGCTCCAGCACATCCTGCTCCGTGAGGTCCTGGTTATAGTAATGGGACTCGCGGACCGTCGCCATGGTCGAGGCGAAGGTGTTATCCCGAATTCCATCTGCAGGGTAGGCCTCGATGTCATCTGGAGTCGGATGAGGCCGAAGTGCCTTGGCTTGGGGCGGTGCCCGTTGCCCTTGTGAGCGGTGCTCCTGGGATTGGCGTTGCTCCTGAACCTGCAAGGAGATCTCTGGTCTCTGGAACTTGATTCTGCAGCATACGGTCCGTGCGCTCTTTGGTCGTTGGGTCCCCCTGGAATCCCTTCTGCCACTTCCAACAGCGCGTGTATGCAATCAGAGTGCCGTTCCGGGACTCAAAGTAGTGGCCCTCGTTGTCGTAGATTTTGTCCCGACGACCTTTGTCGTGCCTCTCCTGGAAGAGGTAGACAGGGCCATACGTCCGGGAGACGTTCCAGCCTGGTTTGGGATTGTGGCCGAGATCCTTGCCCAGGATCTGCCAAAGGTACTTGCAGAAGATCATGTAGTCCACGTTTGCCCTGGCCGCAAAGACCTGCCTGCCAAATGCGTGCTGAATTGCCTCGCTCATCAGGGGATGGCGAGGCTTTCGCCATAGATGATGCCCTGAAAAATGTGATCTTCTTTGACTCCTGTTGCCATCACCATGAACTCATGCGGGAGTTGGCCAAATGGCGAGGGACGGTGTCCCACTTCACCCCCAGTCAGCTGCAAGCAGCTGCAAGACTTTGTGGTCCAAGGTACAGCAAAGCCGCACTTGATGTCCACGTATAGTCCTCCATTCTGGTAGTGGTAGATGTAGCGGAAAATGTCTGCCCGATGTGCCGGCTGCTTGAGACGGTCCAGCAGGTTGGATCCGTATGTTCCCGCCGGATTCACCAGCGTGGCTCGTAGGACCTGATCGTCGCAGAAGACGCGGGTGAATTCCTTGGTGTCGTGCACGTAGGTCTGGAAGAGGATGTTGGGAGTCGGTGCCCGATCTTGATCTGGCAAATGCTGGAAACGACATCCCCAGGCTCCGTGACCGTATTGTGCCGCTACCTCAGAGAGGTCCTTCACCGTGCGCCAGCGGGATAGTGCTTGGGCTGCCAGCATTTCAACCTGCATGTCCTGCGCTTTGGCGTTCCATCCTGCCACTACCAGGATGGGTAGTCCTGGGGTGTTCCTCATTTCTTCGATCGCCCTTGCCACCAATGTGGAGATGGCGAAGTCCGCCACCTGAGGTCGAAAGTGGCAGTTCGTCGTGGTGTACAATTGGTCGATCTGCGGCATCAGGGCGATGTCCATGATCTCCTGGTTCGCCAGGTTTTTGTCTGCAAAGCCGTACTGAACTCGGCCTTCTATCATCAGGAAGGCATAGTTTGCTTGCTTGGCCGGGAGCAGGCTTCGGGACAGCGGGATGAAGCGGACGTTGATCTAAGCATCCAAGTGATCTTCAAGAATCTTGGCCACTGCCGGGCTCTGGACGGCCGCACTGAATCAGTGGGGTCCGAAGAGCCCGACTTGTGAGAAGGAGCTCCCTCGATTTACGCCCCATAGGTCTGCAGCATCCGGTGGGAAAAATCATGATGAGACTGCTGCTGCAGCAGGCAAAGGAACAGATCAGCACCGTCACTGCCCTCAAGACAGTGATGCAGCACTGCTCCGAGGTGCGAGCTTGTTGCAAACAATCTCGACCAACTGTACGCCAGAAATTCTCGAGACAATCAGCGCCGCCATGTACCGGCTGCGTTTGATCGGGTGTCCTGGTCCCATGTCCGAGAGGCCTTGGAGCTTGCTCACATCGACCCGGGAGTCCAGAAGATCATCCTGCAATGGCTAAGGCAAGTCCAGTATAGATTTACGCATAAGTCTCGTAACCAGGCGCTGCAGCCAACATGCGGATTAAGACAAGGATGCATCGCTTCCCCTCTGCTGTGGTCTGTATACACAGTCTTGCTCAATCAGGCAATGGACAACAGAATTGCTGAGTCCTGGAGCTGCAGGCATTGTACACAGTATGCAGACGATAGTCATCTTCGATGGCAATTTCACAGCTTCACCGAATTGGAACAGGCCCTGGGGGAGCCGAAACAGGTCCTTGCCATCTTCAGGCGATTCGGGATGCAAGTCAACACCAAAAAGACAAAAGCAATACTTGCTCTGTCGAAGTCGTGTGGAAGGTCGCTACATCCGGAAAGCGGGAGAAGACAAAGGCTTCTCCTATTGGCAGGGGATCCTACCAATTGGTTGCCGATGGTTAATAGTGCGGCATACCTTGGCCTCATCATTTCTTATGACAGCTTTGAGGCACAATCTGCCCGACACCGCATTCAAGGCGCTGGGCCCTTGCTCCTGTCTTACATTCTGGCAAACTGGCTACCGGCTACAAGCTTCGTATATGGAAGGCCTGTGTGCTCACAAGTCCGACCTACGGGCTGCACAGCTTTGCTCTCAGTACTGCTTTGCATGCAGAACTCCATCGCACAGCTATGAAGCAAATTCGGGCAATTACTTCGAATCGCGCCCATCTCAGACTCAGTGGCCATACAAACTGCCTACCGCCAGAAGTATCATTGAGGCAGCCCATGCCAGGGAACTCAAGCTGGCTGAGGCTGGAGACTGGATGATCTCTGACGATTGGAATACTCAAATTACTGCCAGTCTGTCCTGGGAAGGCGACACAGACAAGGGTCACTCAGAAGAGCCGGTGAAGGGCAAATTGTCAGTGTGGGGCTGCCCTGAGTGTGAAGAACAGTTTGATAGCCCAGCTGCATTGAAGATATATGCCCAACGTGCACATGGTGCCGTTGTTCTGCGCCTTTACCAAGCTGATGACACACACCAACTGAAGCTGCGACAGTGGTGGCAGTACCGGATCAACCGTGGGTTGAAAATATGCTGGTCAGACACACAGCCGAGAAAGGGTTGCGTCATTTCATTCAGCTGCCACAGCTCATTCGAAATTTCAAGCAGACCTGTGTTCTGTGTGGCCAATGGATTGCTTCGCATAAGGCGGTCAAACTGCACTACAGAAACTCTCATGGTAACATTCTCAAACAGCATCAGAAAAAACATCGGCAGTATTGTTGCTAAGTGTGCGACTCCCTCGGTGCAGTGCCACTTCTGTGGTGGCATCCGTAAGGACTGGAGAGCACACATGCTCAAGCGCACGGTCCTGTGGCAATGTGCTGTGTTGTGCAGTTTGAGAACCATGAGGACAGATGGCGGTGATTGGGGATCGCGAGATGGAGCAGTTCTTCGGACCGCTGGGAACAGCCCTGACCACGATGACGGTGGATCAATCTTCCCACAACAAGAGGAGGCGGGAACAAGGGGACCCCAAAGGCTGTGGCAAAGGCCACAACAAGTGGTCTTCGACACAGCAGCCTCACGATTACAACAAACAGCGGGGGATTGGTGACTACTTTGGCCAAGGCGGTCATCAAACAATCCGAGGAGCTGCAAGTACTGAAGCAAAACACGGAGTTGGTGATGTGGCTCAAACCGGGACAGGACTCGATTCTGCATCACTCGTTCGTGACGGCCTCAGAATTCAAGAAGCAACAGAAGGACAATCCCACTCTCGGACTTCGACATGTGCCGCTTCGATCAGTCCTGGCTTTGGCAATGTTCAAGGAGTTGGGACAGCGTCTCGAAAATCGCTTGAAATCCCCGGAAGTCCTGGAGCAGGCCGAGAGCAACGGATGGAGGGGCCCGGATGGATGGAAATACCAAATCTGGAGCCCGTACTCCGCCATCTCGAACTGGACAAGGAGAAACCCACCATAGCGGATGCTCAAATGCAGCTGGTGATTGGGCAGATTGTGGAGTGCTTGACACATCCGGTGATTCACGAATTTCACTGCAATCGGAAGCTTCAGGCTACCATGGAATCTCAGGCGACCTTTCTCATGAGTGTCTCCGTGAGGGGCGAGATTTCGGCAAGCTCTGGAGCCTGCTCATGGATCTTCAAGGCTGTTGTGTGCTTCAGCTGATTGGCCTGGCTTATCGCCAGGAAAGCATCAAGTCCCTCCCTTGGCAACGACTGCGCGAGATGCTTTATCACTGAGGCTTCGACTTTCAAATCAGGGCAATTCATGCTACATGAATGCAGTGGTGCAGGTTCTTGCAAACCTGGGGGAGCCTATGGCCACGACTGGTTTATCTATATGGGGTACGGGCACACAGTTATTTCGTGCTCTGCTCGCATTCTCTGGTACCTCGAAGCATCTTCTCGATGACATCAGGTGGCAACTGCTAATCCAAGGATGGCAGCAGGCGACCAGACAACATGATGTTTGTGAGTTCTTCAGTTTCTTGATGGATCGTAGGAGCTGGCAGTCTCGCGGGACTGCCGACACGGGGATGGTTCACTGCATGGACCAGGGGCTGTTCACTCAGCCTCTAGCTCTACACTTCTCCTCGGAACTCCGGAATCTGAGACGGGCCATCAAGGTACAGGACATGCTGAACTGTTGGCATGGGGTTCGGGAGCCGATACGGGCGCTGAGCACTCTGCCACGCATCCTGCAAATGCAATTGTGTCGATTTGAGATTCAAGCAACGGGGGTACGTAAGCATCGATTGGAGGTGGAAGTTGACTCCGTCATTAATGTTCCACTTTTCACTGAAGGTGGGCTAGACCTGCAGTGGATTCGCTATCAACTGTGTGCATATGTGGTGCACCATGGGGAAACACCACAGTCTGGCCATTATACCTCGGTCATCTGTCAGGATGGGCAGCGTTGGCTTTGTGGTGACGATCGCTCTGCCATCCGTAGCCGTAGCTCAAAGCAGACAAAAGTACAGGCTCGCAACTGATATCTTCTGTTTTATGGGCACACGGCGGCCCTACGGGAACATGTTCATGCTTAGGCCCTTTGGGGCGGTGGACATGATTTATGTCCGAGTCAGCAAGAAAGCTGAGCGCTTGAAATGCGCCGGGCGAAATCGCCTGCTCAGAACGACTCGCCGCTTGGTGTGGACTCCCTCACTGCGTGCACAACACAACAACCGCTACTGCTACTACTACTACTACTACTACTACTACTGCCACTACCACTACCACTGCCACTGCCACTCCCACTCCGACTCCCGCTCCCACTCCCACTCCCACTCCCACTCCCACTCCCACTCCCACTCCCACTCCCACTCCCACTACCACTACCACTACCACTACCACTACCACTACCACTACCACTACTACTACTACCACTACTACTACTGCTTCCTTTACTACTATGACTAGTGCTACTACTATGACCACGACTACTACAGCCGCAACATGCCGCAACCATCCAGCAAAGCGCGCAGCCCGGCCAAGGATTCCCAACCCTTGTCCGTGGTCGCTCAGGCCCGTCCTGTAAGCACGCAGACTACTTGAAGTTTCAGGGTGCCTTGAATCGGTGAAAAGCCGTGATGATTGCTGAAGTTAATTACAGGTTCGAGACCTGCAGATGCAGCATTTTGGCAGATTCTGGGTTTGTTTGTTCCGTCAGTTTCGGGGTTGGCGAACAGCATCGGGTTATTGAAGAGTTGGAGGGGTTGAGGGTTTTCAGGCATAATGTAAGGATTTTCGATAGTCCTTGTTTTAGTTTTGAGGGCTGCTTGTGGTTCTCAGCAGGCATTCGCCGGTGTAGGTTTGTGGGTGCAGGGTTCAAGGTTTGGCTATGATTCTCTTGGGGTTGTGTTTGGCTTCGGGTTCGGTTATGATTCCTTGAGGTTGTCTTGGCTTCGGAGTGTTTGGCATTTATCATAACTTTATTTACTATTGTGCATCGTCGTCGTCGTCGTAGTATTTCCCTCAGGTAACGTGCCACACCCTATTCGGGTTCTAAGATTACTGCTAAAGAAAATTGGTTAGTGTTCGCGCAAGCCGTGGAAAATGTTCCCCGGACACGGCTCTCGCTGTTGCGATGTGAACAGTTTGCGCCAGTGCTGGACAAGCGGATTGTCAGTGGTGTGGAGGTGGGGTGGTCTCCCTGATTTCGTGGTCTGCTGGTTTTCTTCTGGTGGTCTACTGGTGGTTTCCTGTCGGCAGCTATGCGGATTCCCTGCCTCTACGCATCGTCGTCGAAGCATTCGTCTTTGTCGTCGTTGTCGTGGTGGTGTTGATGGTGGCACGAACATGTTTGGGATTTAGGATTCAGAGTTTATCATAGAGCTCCGTCTTTGTGTCGCCAACGCCACGCCGTCTAGTTCCCAACCATAGGAAGCGGCGATCCTAACATCCTCCAGGAAAAGAAACCGCAATTCAACGTGAAGGACCTCCCACAGGCCAGTGGGAAAGGATGCTGCGGACATGGCTTGCAGCTCAAAGCGTTCCGGATGAGGTAGACATGTGGTTGCGATCAGTTGCGATCTGTTTCATCCGAGTCAGAAGACCGCTTCACGACCCGTACAGCTCAAGAACTACAGAGCCGCCTCAATGAAAGACTCTGTCCACGAGCCTGCAGCCTGCAACACCAAACCCTGCAATGATGAAGGACAGAAACATGAGTGCTGCTTCCAATTTTTCCCCGGAATGGTTTACTTCATGTAGCCCGCACTTGACAGCAGACCCGCAGAACGACCCAGGGTCAGTATTGCTCAGTCGGAGCCAATTAGTCTTCATCTTTTTGCCAGCACACGAGAAATGCATTTGTCATAGCGTACCCTGTAAGTGGCTTGCGATGTGTTTTCGAAAGCTTCGACGCTGCCTTTGGGTATCCCGGTGCGATCTGCATGTTACGCAGACTTGCACACAGCACACGCAGTCCAAATACAGAGGTTATCAGCTATTGCAAACCACCGCCACCCGAAAGCCTCAAGTCCAGACATTCCATTTACTTAATGGTTCAGAATATTAGCCAGAGCCCAAAACGCCACGCTTCTATCGTTTCAGGTTGCCGGCGAGATTGTCGGAGGCTTTGTGAGGAGACTTTTGTTGCAGTTTCCGGGTTTGGGAATTCGGACTGCTGTTCTGCTGCGGTGGGGGCTTCAGGGTTCTATGCGCCCGCGGCGCAGCTCTTTCAATGTGCTTTGGGGCTTTCTGCAGGCGCTGTCTGGTCATTAGAATTGAATATATGTTATTTGGAGGCATGCTGTTGCTACTGCAGCTGCTACTGTTACGGCTATTGCTACCGCTACTGCTCCTGCTCCTGCTACTGCTGCCGCTACTGCTACTGCTACTGCTACTGCTGCTGCTACTGCTACTGCTACTGCTACTGCTACTGCTACTGCTACTGCTACTGCTACTGCTACTGCTACTGCTACTGCTACTGCCACTGCCACTGCCACTGCTGCTACTGCTACTGCTACTGCTACTGCTACTGCTACTGCTACTGCTGCTGCTACTGCTACTGCTGCTGCTGCTACTGCTGCTGCTACTACTACTGCTGCTACTACTACTGCTGCTGCTGCTGCTACTGCTACTGCTACTGCTACTGCTACTGCTACGCTCCTGCTGCTGCTGCTGCTACTGCTGCTGCTACTACTACTGCTGCTACTACTACTGCTGCTGCTGCTACTACTACTGCTGCTGCTGCTGCTACAACTACTACTACCAGTACTAAAACTACTACTACTACTGCTACTACTACTACTGCTACTACTACTACCACTACTACTACTACTACTACTACTACTACTACCACTACTACTACTTCTACTCCTACTCCTACTCCTACTCCTACGCCTACTCCTACTGCTACTGCTATAGCTATTGCTACTGCTATTGCTACTGCTACTGCTACTGCTACTGCTACTGCTATACTGCTACTGCTACTGCTACTACTCCTACTACTTCTACTACTACTACGACGCAGCAAACGCTCCCAGCCCCTATGCGCGCCGTAAAAAATTGCAACCCATGCGGAAGTTGTCATTCCAACTACTTTCGTGAGTGCGAATCTGCAACCAGCAGCCGCAACAACGTGTAGTAACAACCTAAATGACATACCGCGCTTACCCCCCCACCCCCCTCCAGCCCCAAGCCCCGCACCCCCCAAACCAAGCCAAGCCAAGCCATTTTAAATCGGAACTGCCTATCACCCAAGGCCCTCCTCGGAACCGATGTGTAGCTGCAAAGCCTGTCTAACAATAAAGCCTGTGTAACAAACAGACTGTGTAACAGCAAAGCCTCTGAAACACGAAACCCTGTCTAACAGGAAAGTCTGTGTAGCAGATGCCCCTTCCCAAGACATAGTATGCTCTTCCACTCGTGCTAGTCCTCCGTGAGAAGATCAACCCCTTAACCCTTAAACCCAAATCCTAAGGCAGACTATGGTCTTCCACTCGGGTTATTCCTGTCGTCAGAAAGCAGAAAAGACCACTAAAGGCCAAAATGACCACTAAAGGCCAAAATGTACGAAAAGGCCAAAATGTAGGAAATTCACGCAGGCGCTGGCGGCGTTAGCCCCCTGTTGCTACTACTACTGCTACTACTACTGCTACTACTACTGCTACTACTATTGCTACTACTACTACTACTACTACGATTACTACTACTACTACTACTACTACTTCTACTACTACTACTAGTGCTACTACTGCTACTACTGCTACCGGACTGCTATTGCTACTGTACTGCTACTGCTACTGCTACTGCTGCTGCTGCTGCTGCTGCTGCTACTGCTACTGCTACTGCTACGGCTGCGGCTGCGGTGTAAACGACAGTAACACAGGGCAGGCACAGCGCCCTTGTTTTCACTGCCTAAGCAAGTCCAGCGGGCGTGACAGCCCGAACGTCTGCCCTTAGTCGTGCTGCGCACAACTTGTGCCGCAGGCTACACGAAGCAACCTACGACTAG